CAAAAACATGCATGTTAGGCTGATTGGTAACTCCTAATTGTCCCTAGGTGAGAGAGAGAGTGAATGGTTGTTTGTCTCGTTTGTCTCTATGTGTCCCTGTGATGGACTGGAGACCTGTCCAGGTTGTCCCCCGCCCCTCGCATAGTGATTGCTGGACATGGGCACTGGCAACCCCCGTGACCCAAAATGGAAAAAGCGGATAAAAGATAATGGATGGATGGAAGGGCTGAAAGATTAATAGTAGCCTAAGGAAACCTAATACACTATGTAGCAATAAGAAGGGTGACACTTTCTCCACTCCCGTCCACTACATTTATTCTATTTATTTTGCACTCGTTAAAGTGGGGCACGAGCTGGTCAGTTTACTGACCAACAATTTAATTAATATATTGTAATGATCCTTGAGGATTTATTATATTGTTACATGTTTACTATTCCTGTTGCACTGTTACTGGTTCTTGTATATGACATATTCTGTTGTGTCGCAGGGGTTGTTGGGAAATGAGATGGGGTGGGGTTTGGTTGGGTGGCCAGTTTTTGTGAGGAGTGGGATGCACCTGTTGCGATACCGAGGAGCTCTGGCGTGAGTTACGGCCGAACAGTGACAGTTATTTGACCTGTAATTATTGTTCCTGAATAAATCGTTGGTAAGAGCAAAACGTCTGCGGCTTGAGTGACCACGTCAACATTACATTGGTGTCAGAAGTGAAACTACAAGCTGCCTCTGAAGTTGCCGGCGGCGCTAATCACGGATGGGGACTGATGTTGGCAGACAAGATTAAGGGGGAGGAGCTGGTAGCCTGGCTGCATTGGACCGCTCACAGAATGAGAGAAACAGAGCTGCAAATGTCTGCTGAGGCTGGATTTTCGCCAGGTTTGGCTAGAAATGAGAACTTTTCCATGACCGCGGTTTCGGTGGAATAGAGTCGAACTCGCGTGATGCACCGTCACGTGATGTAAACAAAGAGGGTGGCGCCCAGGGGTGGGAAGTAGCAGCAAACATAAAAACACCCAAGTGGAAAGACACCATGGGAGGTGTTTTTCACTCAGTTTGAAATATTAGCTGTTGTAGTTGGCTGGTATGAGGAGAATAGAGCACTGCAACTAGCTTTGTGCCTGTGTGAGGATGCAGCTGCCTGTTGACTGCTGCTGAGCAAGGAGAGGAGAGACTATGCTGCTCTATTTGGAACACTAGAGAGACGGTTTGGACAGTATAACCAGACTGTGCTGCTCTATTTGGAACACTAGAGAGACGGTATGGACAGTGTAACCAGACTGTGCTGCTCTATTTG